TTTGGGGTTTTTTGCTGTCCTATTTCTCGCTATCAATAACACGATACTGGCCTGTTTCTGTCTGGTCTGAATGGCCTGTGCGGCCCCTCTGTTTACACGTTATACTTTTCTGTTGCAGCATGAATGCGCTGTGCTCTCGCAGGCTCGTGGCAGAGAGGAGCGAGTTACATCTGCTGTGCTTTCAGGGGTTTGGGTGGAAGTAAACAACAAATGCAAGCTCTTTCATGCGAGCCCATGAAACAGTGTTGCAGGTTAAAGCGTTATTCATAAAATGAAGGCTGTCGTGTGAAGTCCAAGACTAGTAAACCGTTATTTTGAACTGGTATATTTTGGAGTAATTAAATAATGTTTCACCCACCACAAGACTGTTCCATAAGAAGACATGATTTGGAAGAACTGAACATGATTTATTGAGATGGAGAATTTGATTAAGAAGACTCTGATGAACCAACGTGGCAAAACAGAGTCCCAGAATTGACAGGAATTAGGACAGGACCCCCTGATGTCGAGACGCTGGTGGTGTTGGAAAGGAAGACGAGGCTTGCAGGGGGTCTGAGTGAACAGGGTGAGGTGGAAACGGGGAAGAGGCAGACTGCAGGAATGAAAGGCAGAATGACACAAGAGCACTGAGTTGACGGTGTGGGGAAGTGAAAGTGGTATAAACAATCGACTAGAGGCTTTAATAAACAGGAGTGCAGGCGGATGAGTGATTACAGATCCTCTTTACTGAACTTGCGCATAAATTTCTTTATTTGAAAATCAGAGTGGATCAGTGAATTGTAAATAGCTCATACAACTAATCTTTCTCTGACCAAATGGTTCTGTTCTTTGCTTTGGTCCATGCTAACATAACAGATTTTACGTGAAATTGTCAGACTTTTGTGGTCCCAGAGGATGAATCCTTTCCTGATCCATTGCCTTTTTTCTTTTAGCTCTGAGACACTTCGACTCTTGCATGAAATATGTACACAACTATGTGATGGATTAGCATGCAATTTGCTGGTGACCTTTGTGTCGCCAAAAGAATATTAATCATCAACTATGGTGATACAAATATATTAATCTTTTACTCATTTTTATGGAATTGTAGCCTTTCCCTTAAGAGGATTTGGCACTTTTCTTTGTTACACGTGACAGTAATCTGGGAAACTCGCTGTCAACAATAAGGTGACCTTGATATTCTATAAAAGATCGTCTCGCATAAGTCAAATGTGCGCTTTAAACCGGAGCTTCTCAGAGTGCCACTGTGGAGCCGGCGTGTCACAGGGAAAACACACATTTGCTTGGTGGTTGTGTCGGCTCAGAGGATGATAGATGGTGATTTATTTATTTGTTAACTTTTTTTTAAATGTTATATTTCTTTACATTGGCTGTGTCTTCTATGATTGCCAAACATCATTTTAAATTGAAAAAGAACATGACATAAACTGAGAATTAGAGATTTGCACAGTAGTGCATTCTTCTCAAACAACATGTGGGAGAAAGGGAATGAAATGCAGTGTCTGACTGTGTGTCTGTCTCATCCAAACCTCAATGTTAAGCTAAAATAACAAAGTCTTACTAGTTAATGTGAAATCACGTGCATAAATCACACACAACTTTAGGAACATTTTGCATGTCTTGTCAGTGCATTTTAAGCTTTCGGTTACTTTACAGGATTAAGTGACACAAAAAGGTCAAAGCATGGGAAAGATTATAGTTTCTAATGTAAAGTGCATATTGATAACTTAATGAAAGGACTTGTTGTGTAATTCATACAATGTTTTATACCAGGCTGTACTAACGCTGATTCTACAAGGTCAACAATCTGAGTTTAACCTTAGCGCTGTGCTAAGGGACAGGATATCAGTGCAGGGGAATATTGGTGGAGGAGAAAAAGAAGTCTAGAGTCAGTCTATTTTTATTCTTGGTTTAGATTGACACAAAATATTGATTTTGCAGATACCATATAGTTTCTTTTTGCAATGCAAAGTACACTACCTCCATGTTGTCTATCTTGCCATTCAACCAATTCAGTCTGTGAGAGTCAGTGTTTTATGTCTCGTTGTTCAAGGTGCTCATCAAATCCAAAAAAACTGACAGGGTAAGAATTTCAGGCATAAGCACATGAGCGTCTGGCAGCGTCCAGTACTGCAGATTTCTTTTCTTTGTATGAGACACAGAAAAAACAGCTCTACATGAAATAAGCCAAATATTCTTAAATCTGACAAAATTAACTTGTTTTGACAAAAAAAATCTGCCAATAGGGAAGCAAAAGTTTTTTTGCTAGAATCCTTAAAACTAGCAAATGACTCTGACTTCTGTATGCCTATTAACTGGACACGACTGTCTACAATTTACGCTTAATTGAAGAAAATTTGACTTAAGATTTTACAGCTTAATTTAGATTTTCATATAAACAAGAAGAAACAAGAAGCTAACTGTAGGACAAACTTTAGCAAAATGATGGCTCCGCGAGGGTTTAAGTGTTAAATATATTTCTTTTTTAGGCCTTTGTTTGGCTTTATTGGTAGGGGCAGTGAAGAATCGACAGGAAAACAGAGGGAGAGAAAGAGTGGCAGACAGGCTGTCAGCCATGCAGCATGCGGGCACCCGCTCAACACAGTGAGCTAAACCAGCACCCATTAAATACATTTCTTGAATTGAAAAGTTGTTTAAGTGGCTTTACTCTTGAAATAAGAAAAGTAATCGTATTCTTATTCTGTAATTTTAGCCAAACCATTACCATACCCTGTAACTGGGGGAAAAAAGCTCAATATGAGCTGAAATATCTTATAGAGAAAAATATTTTCCTAGAACAAGCTTAATTTTCTTGTGCAAAGCTTGCTTGTTAAGAGTGTATTTTATTTTTACACAAAAAATAAGAACAAAAGTCAATTTTTGCAGTGGAAGAACAAAAGTCCATCATGCTTTCACACGTGTGTCATCTCTGTCTGACATGTTGCCAAGCAGCTGCGTAGTAGGAATGTATCCAGTCCTACATTTGTGATCCGTTATCTTGTTAAGATCAGCTAGCAAAATAGCAGACAGGGTCACTGTTACATGGCAGAACTATTACATGTCCGTTAGATGCTAAAAAACTCATGTTTTAAGGAAACACGTTGAGCCAACAGCTCCACCAGTAGAGAAGGAGAAGGATGCTGGTGCTACACCTCTGAAGCCATAATGGCTAGCCTTTAGTCAAAGCTGCCTTTCTGTGGGAAATAAAGACACGTGTTGCTGGTTTTGCAGTGGAAGAGATGTTTCCACTATTAACTCAGTATGCAGAGGAGGTGAATGTGCAGTAGGTCGAAAACCCTCTGGATATTTTATTATAGGTCTGGTCTTTACTTTACAATATAAAGAACCTTGAGGCGACTGTTATTGTGATTTGGCATTATCTAAATAAAACTGAATTTCTTTTTTTTCCCATTAAGATGCAGCGCTATGACGTCACAGTAACGTGATTGGTCATTTGCAGTGTGATCCGAACCAACATTACTATAATAATCTGGGATAAACACCAGCACGGGGATGTTAGATTCACCCCTCTACTACACACTGAGCGAAAGGTTTAAAATAAAAATCTTTTTTCTGTATAAATGATTTTTCTAAATGACTTCTCAATTTTTCACATAAGCCTGTTTTACAGAAATCAATACTGCACTCCATCAATTATAAATCAAAACTTTCATTTCCTCCCAGAGTTGCTTAATTTATTTTAA